AATGGTTCAAAGATGGCCCAGGCAGGGACTGTGAAGGTAGCACAGTGGTAGAGTGCTTGCCTTGAATGCATGAGGCCCTAGGTTCAATTCCTTAGTACTACACAAGCAGAAAAAAAAGCTAGAAGTGGCACTGTGGCTCAAGTGGTAGCCTTGAGCTGAAGAACTGAGGGACAGCGCCCAGGCCCAGAGTTCAGGCACTACAACTGACAAAAAAAAAAAAAAAAAGATGGCCCAGGCAGAACGGTCCTTGAGATTCCATCTCCAAAATAACCAGCAAGAAGCTGGGGTAGAGGCATGATTCAAGTGGTAAAATGCCAGCTATGAATAAAATAAGCCAAGAGAGAGTACAAGGCACCAAGTTAAGCTTTGCTAGTGAGGAAAAATTCATATATAGAAAAATAGAAAGTAGTAATAAAAGGTATCATTACAGAATGTTAACTATAAGTTATACTTTATTGCATTTAATTCACACTCACAAGTCCCTCTGGAAAGGGTATTACTGGCTCCATTTTACAGACTAGAAAACTGAAAACAGAGATACTGAGTATTTATTGTTTATATGAGTAAAATCTGCTTGTTTTAATAAATAAATAAAATCTGCTTGTTTCCAGTATAAAACCACACAATATAATACATAATCTACAAAGGAATGACAGAAAATACTAATATGACACTTTGAATATGACACCTGTGTAGAAGTCTACAGATTAGAGGAAGACTAAAACTATATTATGATTTTCTGTAGAAAAAAGAGGAAAAAACATGATTAGAATTTCAAAGAAAGAAATGCTAAATATTTCTTTTTTCTTTTTTTTTTCTTTTTGTCAGTCATAGGGCTTGAACTCTGGGCCTGGCCCTGTCCCTCAGCTCTTCAGCTAAAAGCGAGCACTCACTGTTCGCAATAGCTAGGATATGGAAACAACCTAGGTGCCCCACCACAGATGAATGGATCCAAAAATTGTGGTATCTATACACAATGGAATATTATGCAGCCATTAGAAATGACAAAATAATGGCATTTGCAGGGAAATGGATGGAGCTAGAAGGAATCATGTTGAGCGAGGTAAGCCAAGAACGAAGAGACAAACGGTACATGGTCTCCCTCATAAGTGGATGCTAAATCCAAAAGGTTAGTGATACGACAAAACTAACAGGACTTAAGAAACAAAGAACTCCCGCTCATCTGGTTGAACCACTACTAAATATCCTCATGCTGCTGATCACAAATATGGTATATAACATGTGAACACTGTTATATATTACAGACTGTGGTAGACAATTTGCTCCAGGGAAGTTAGAATGAACTTGTGACTTTGAAATTATGTAATCATTTAATCACAATCAAAAAAAAAAAAAAAAAAAAGAACCTCGGGGAAGGGAGGGAGGGAGGGGATGGTAGGGGGAAAACAATGGAGGGGGTAACAATGTTCAAGAGGAAGTGTACTCATAACCTCACTCATGTAACTGTAACCCTCTGTATAGTAGCTTTACAATAAAAAAAAAAAAAAAAAAAAAAAAAAAAAAAAAAAAAAGCGAGCACTCTGCTGCTTGAGCCACAGTGCCACTTCCAGTTTTTGAGTGGAGATAAGAGTCTCACGCATGAATTTTCCTGCCCAGGCTGGCTTTGAACTGAGATCCTCAGATCTCATCCTCCTGAATAGCTAGGATTACAGGCATGAGCCACCGGCACCCAACTTGAAATGCTAGATATTTCTAAGCAAAATTTAACTCATTTTCTAGACTCTTTTCAGCAAAACTGTATAATCTGAAAAGTTCAAGAAAGTAAAACTTGACTAAAATGCGAACTCAACTTTTACATAAAATTATTTTGAACATAAATAACTTAAAGTTATTGACTATAATACCTAAGCCGTTTCTGTATGTGCATTTCTTAATTGCTTTACTATAAAGAGGATTTCCTTTGCCTAAAATGAGTAAATAAAACAGCAATGTGTGACAAGTTTTACAATATGGGAAGAATTATTTCCACAAAACAGAATTTATATTATTGGTAGACAATTAGACTCTATAGCTTAATCTCATATAATAATGTTTATATATCTAATTCAGTCAGACAGAACATAATTCTACCAGGAAGGAACCTACATAAAAAGCTAAATATAGCAGCTCTTTCAATAGCCACAGTTTCATAACTTGTATTAAGGTTAACATTTCTATCTCTACAGGTGATCACCATTCCAAAACCACATTAAGATAAATAATGCCACCTACAAAATTTGGCTATTAGGAGATTCCTTGTACTTACTGATTTCATAGGACAGTTTCAGTCTATTTTCATTCAGAGGTCAACCCACTTATACGACTACCTGGCTGCCAGCCAAAATATATATAGCCTTTGCCTCCTGTACATAATGTCTCTGACATAGAGCTGATATCTGATGAAATAAAACCTGAGCAACTCACCATCAGATTCAACTCGTATGAAATATAGACTTACTTGTCAATCCAAAAAGTCTTCTTTTATTCAAAGTCCCTTCTGGAAAATCTTCATTTTGTGAATTCTTTATTTCTTCTTCATTGAAGACAAATATAATCAAAGAGCATATACTCCAGTAGGATCGAATACTAAAATGAAACTGAACTCACCTGTTACTCACAAGTCGTATTTCTAATCTAGTGATAAGAGTCTGTATCATCATGACCTGTTTATAATTACCTCATTGGGGAAAGAATTGCCATGGTTTCTCTCATAACTGAATAGATCCCAAGCTTGCTCCACTGTAGTAAATACTTGAGATAAGCAACTTGCAAAAACTAAAAGGTTAATTTTGGCTCTCAGTGTTAAGAGTTCCCAGTCCATTCTGTAGTGGGCCCACTGCTTTAGGTCTCTGGCATAGGTCTCATGACAGCAGCAAACAGCAAAGCAAAACTGCTCACCTCACATCAGGAAGCAAAGAGAAGAAGAAGACCAGGAACCCATAATCTCCTTCAAATAACCTGAAAACTTCCCACCAAATCCTGTTGAAGGTTTCACTACATCCTATTATCACTATAGAATAAGTATAAGCCTTGAACATATAGGCTTCTGGGGAACATTCCAGATCCAAACTATAGAAATTCCCACAATAAATAGGGTATTTCATCTTCCTCAAGGTTATTTATTATCTAGAATAGCCACTGCCTACCTGACAAAATGCTTAGTAATCCTTTAAGAGTAAGCTAAAAACCCACACTTTTTCCTTGCATTCTTTCCCATCGTTTTAGTTGTATTTTACTGCTAGAATCGACCCACATATACTTATAATAGGGTCATATGTCTCCATAGTTATGACTCGCTAGAAAGAAGAAAACTATCTTATTCATTTTACCATCTCCTAATATGTCTACTGTAACACTTTGCACATTATAGTAGATAATAAAGAACAGGGAATGTGACTGAACAAAATGCAAAATCTTTATTCTTATCCTATAACATCCTTAGTAGCTTCATGACAGTACTGTTTGTTGGAAATGGGGTCTAACTTTTGCCCCTCTTGGCCAAGAACCAACCTTCCCTATCTTTGCCTTCTGGGTAACTATAATAGCAGGCTTGTGCAATTGTGCCAGGCCTTGAATATTTTTTCAGTAACTCATAGCACAAATTTTTAAATGGGAAGAAGTAATTAATTCTGGAGTAGTTAATACTTGGACAATTAAGAAAAGACTGTACAAAGAAAAACAAATCCTTCACAAACCCAGCCTATTTCCCTGCATAGGTGGGTAGCACAGAGAAGGAGGCCATCTTTTTTCTCCACGCAGAACAAGTGCTGATGAAAGGTAGGAGGGATTGAAGTAAGTAGGACAGGTCTGGCCAGCGCCATATTGGCCACATGGTAGATGGTAGAGTCTGGCATCTTGTCTTCATGCTGAGGAAAGGAACACCCCCCCCCCCATCACCTGCCTCCCAGGGTGGGCGTGCTCAGACCCCTGGAGGCCGGGGCAGGCACTTGGTGACTGGGACTGGGAATTTCCTGAGGATCTGTCCCCTGCGCCAACCTATTTAGGCCTGGACCAGCCTAGCAGGTGGACTCCATGCCAAGTGTGTCTCAGCAATCCTGTCCTGTGTCCTGGCTCATCTCCAGTCATCATGGAGTCCCAGTTCAGCTCTCCACTTGGAGTTGAATTGGCTTCTTGGTATTGTTCTTGTTCTTTCTTTCCTCTTTAGCAAGTTTCCTAGCTGGGTTATGTGTATTTGCATGCTGCAGGCCTTTGTAACAACTGGCGGCCTGCAGCCTGTTAACTGTATAATAAAGACTCCAGTATTCTACATTTTAAAATGTGGCTTCTGGAATGATTTGCCTTACAACAGGATGAGGCTCCAGTTGAAGCGAATCTACCAAACGCCACTTCTTTGATCAAACAGAGATAAATAGGACATATCTCCTAGGGCTGAGGATGAAAATGGGATGCTTCTAAAATGCAGCCCTGCAGGACCGCTGGTTAAGATCTAGCAAAATCTATCCACCATGATTTACAACCATTATTATAAACACACGCGCGCGCACACACACGCGCACACACACACACTGCCACTGCCGAAAACCCTAGGCAACTCTTCCCGGAGGAGGGGGTGGTATGCAGACACCCCAGGCCGGCCTTCCTCTTGTTCCATCACACGATGGATGCCCTAGGTTGCCTGGGCACAACTCCTCACTCAGCTCCCTACAGGACGACTCAGGCCAGGGAAACTCTTCCAAGCATTACCGCCCACTCAGCGGTCACGTGACATCTGGCCCCGCCCCCTGCCCCAGCTTCCAGGTGCCTTCCTGAATGCCTGAAGCCTCGCGTGACCCACGGCCCCGCCCCCGGCTCGGCCTCCAGGTCCTGCCCCCATTGTCCGCGGCCTCGCTTGAACTCTGGCCCCGCCCCCTCTGCCCAAGTTCGCACCGCGGGGGCCCTCTGCGTCACGTGGCCTCTGGCCCCGCCCTGGTTCCGCTATTGTGCTCCGCCCTCCGGGCTCGCGTGGTGGTACGTGCACGCTGTCCCCGCCCACCCGAGCCGCCGCTGGGTTCCGCTCGCAGTCGGGCGGCCGGCGGCTGAGGCGGACATGGCTGTCTCGCTGCAGCGCATCGAACGGCTGTCCAGTCGGGTGGTGCGCGTGCTGGGTTGTAACCCGGGTCCCATGACCCTGCAGGGCACCAACACCTACCTGGTGGGGACCGGCTCCAGGTAAACGTCCCGCCCTTCCCCGTTAACCTCTTGCTCGGGACCGCGGAACTCGGGCCGCGCCGGCCGCCCGCCGCAGCCGGGCGGCGGGGCGTGGGCTGCGGGAGCGCCGCGGCCTGGCCGGCCCGCAGCCTGCCCGCCATCTCGGGGCCCAGGGACTGACCACACCACCTCGGCTTCCTCAACCCTCCTCTTGCAGCCCAGTCTGCTTCGCCGGGTGGTGTCTGCGTGCGTGGGGGCCGAGCTTCCGTGGAATCGCCTGGAACCGAGGAGTTGAGCGCGTTCCCTGCGCGGGCCCGCCGCTCACTGGTGTTTTGCCCCGCGAATAACCCATCCCCCCCTCTCCCCCCCCGTACAAAAACCGATCGTTTTTCTCCAAGGCCATGTCTTTATCTCTGCAGCAGGGGGCGAGATTTTCCTGGTTCCAACATTTTAAGTGTAAAACCCAAAAGAGCAGCCAGGGGGGAAAGAGGATCTGACCACACAACTGATTTTGCTTTTTCTTAGACCTGTGACAAGCTTATTGAATTTTCGTTTACAATCCCTGGTGTGTTAACCTTCTTTCGATAGAATGTAAGCAGCAGCAGATAGAAGGGACTGGAAGTGTTGTTAAGTCAGGGAAGCAAAAAGTTAAGTCCACTGTGAACCAGCAAGAACCTTTGGCTGCCTCTGGACGGTAGGAAGTTAAGAGAATTAAGCCAAAAAGAAATCCCACATTTCTTAAGAGTATAGCTAGAAACTGATCTCCCTCAGCCAGTAAATCCACGCTCTCCAGTGTGTCATCTTTAACTAACGCTAAATTCAGAGCCAAAGGTTAAAAATTATCCTAGTCTCCCCTCAGTATGGATCTCAAATGCAACATAATCTAGTTTTCTTCAGACTTGAAACAGATTTCAGATGACCCTAGGGTGGCCAATCTGTTTGAAATTGGTTTGAAAACCAGATGAAGACATCAGCTAGTATATAAAGACCATGTTGTATATACCGACTATATCTTTAAACGCTAGATTCTCTTAACATAGTAAAGTGTGCTAAAAGAGACTCTAAAAGACCTAAAACTAATTGAAGGAAGAGCAGATTCATGAACTCCCATCTTAAAGTTATTATTCACGTGAACTTGGACTATTTAAACTGTGTCTCTGAATAGTTAAACTAGGATAAGTCAGTGGGCAGATAATGCTACTCTAGTGTAAAAGTTAAGTAAATAATATTAATTGGATCCAAGTCAAATGTTCCAAGATAGCAGCCACTTTGAAAAACAGATCTATAGCCACAAGTAACTTCTGAATCACTAAATCCAATGTTTTGTTCCCTCCTTGACTTTCTAACACCACATCAGGATATCCTCTTGGCTCTCTACCTGCTCTTCTTCATTTCTTTTATCTTCATGAGATCTTTGAGTTCCTCAAAATGCAATCCACACCTCTTGTTTTTATACTGTATTCCTTACCTCTTGTCTTCTTCCTTGAATGCTGTTAATCCTTAACTCCCAAATTTACTGCTCCAATTTAGACAAAAGCTAGACTTGACCTTCAGACTATGCTTTCTTAAATCTCTCACATGACTCATAGCACTTGAAACAATTTTTCCTAAAATGAACTCACAGTCTTCCCTGCCCTCCTCCAGTGGTCCCTGTTCTAGTAAACAGGATCATTCCCTTGGTCCATGGACCAAGGAAAATGCCTAAGTTTCCTCCTGGACATTCCTTATATCCTAGCACACATCCAAGCCATTGTGAAGATCTCTTCCTATCCACTGTCACCCTGTCAACCACTCTTGCATAGGCTTCTGTAATGACCAGCCCTGTCTTCTTTGCATCCACTTTTGTCACTTTTCAATTTGTTCCCTGACCCACAGCCAGAGTAGTGTTTTTAAATGAAAATTGAAAGGCTTTGCATATTCTGGCCCCTACTTGCCTCCACAGGCTCATCAGAATTCTCACTCCAGGACCACCTGTAAAGCCTCAGCTGAGGCTGTCTCAGAGCTGTGCATACTTCCTTCTCTTTCTTCCACCTATCGTTTCTTCAAGGCTAACCTCACTTGTCCTTGAAAGCTCATTTGAAATGGCATTTCCTCATGGAATCCTTCTGTGATTGGTAGGTCAATGTAAAACACTGACCTATCACTCCATACTTAACAATAAGAAAAGGGATATGCATGTGTGAGGAGCTTAATGTATTACATAAAACTTACATGTCCCGTTAAAGCATAAATTAAATGAAGAATTAATAATCTCTAACACCTAATACAAAGCCTTATACTGTACCAATAGTACAGTATTTGCTTATATTTTCTTAGTTTTCTTGATTATGATTATAGGACTGCTAGATAACTACTTGGTCTGATATCATTCTAACCAGCCAGCCTATGGATGCCAAGTGCATTTCACAAAAGCATTAGTAGCACTTAATGATTCCCTAGTGTGTAGATGGCACTTGAATACGTATGTACTTAATAGGTAGATACCCAGTAAGCATTGGAATTAACAAATGATAGCCCCAACTTCCTCAAGAACCTCTAATGGCTTCAATTTAACCTTTCCTATCAAAATTGCTGAGCTAAGATTATATCTTATAATAGGGAAATGGTCCCAATACAGTTAAAACCCTACAGTGCATAGATTAGAATCTACTCCGTTTGCTTGTATGAGATTGAACAAGATGGTCATTTCTCATGTTGTGTACCTGTACAATGAGGGTTACACGAAATCTAAACGAAAACATATCAGAAAAGAAAATTCTAGTGTATTGAAACATACAATCTAATTCTTCTGTTTTCCTCATAATACCTATACAACACTGGGTTGTATATGCTCACCAAATGTGAAATGATTTGTAACAATGAAAGCAAATTGACAGACACCAGGTAATTGCTATCATTATAAAATAGTTATAAAGAAGCTGATCCCACTAACTCTTTCTCTGTGTTACAGACTATTATTATGTGCCAGTACAAAGTTAGGGTGAATAAATCAGCCATAAATCTTTACTGATTCATTTACATTCCTTTCTTGAACCCTTTATGAGTGTACCTAGCATTTGTAAATGGCTTCCTGACATGAGGATATTGTCTCTGAACATGAAGAATAAAGTCAACCAAGCCATGTAAAGATGACAGAACATAATCCACTATAACTATTCACATTACATGTGAAATAACTTTATTAGGAAGAAAGAGAACATTTCTAGTATAGAACTGAAGTTTTTGAAGTTTTTTTGTAGAATGACTCCCAAGTGTTTAAGCAGCATCCTTTCTACAGCCATTATCTCCTGCTGGCTGTAAGGAGTCACTGAGTCTTTCCAGTCTAGTTTCTTACTCTATCCAATATCTTCCTAGAATTGGTTTGAAGATTAAAGTATATAATTATAAATGTTCCCAAGGGTTTTAATCACCATATGAATACAAAATATTGTTTAAGGACCTTGTTACTACTCTTCATACTTGCTATAAATTCATTTTTTTCAGGTTTTACAACATCCCTAGTCTGAGTAGATTGTTTACTCTAGGACTTGTAAATGTCCTATTATCTTCAGTTGCATTGTCCTTTCTTTGCCAATCCCAATTTTGTTAAGCCAAGACAGAACGATCAGAAAATCTAAACAAGCCTAGGAACCACATTTAGTGCCTGCCAGAGGTCTGCTATTACTCAGACTTTGATCTGTAAACAAGCTGCACAGGTGTTCTAAAAGATCTGTTTTCTGTGCTATTAGATTATAGCAAAACTGTGTATCCTGCTAATTTTGTCATGACTTTTGAATAACATACAAAAATTTTAAATTCAGGTTTATATTGCCAGATATTTCAAATCTGTTTCAAAGAAAGAGAGAAAAGCAACAATTAAAAAATAGTAAGAGGGCTTTGTGGTATGAAAAAAATTGAGAAGTTGATCCGAGACATAGAAGGATTCTTCTCAAGGATGAGAAAACTAAAATAATCTGACTGATGTTGATTAAAGGGCAGCAAGAATTTGGGGTAAATAAGCACCAAATAACCACACATTACTAGAGGCAGTCAAAATCTAGGATTGTGAGCTACAAGGTATATGTTTTGTATGTTTCTAATTTAGTGTGAACAAATGTACACAGGACCAAGCAATATGGCAGTCTCTAAATTCCTAGAATCAAACAGTTAAGATTCTTGCCCTTGGCTGCAATGCTTGGTAAGAAATGTATGCATTATCCTGCCCATGTAATTGTAACCCCTCTGTACAGTATGTTCTCAAATAAAATAAAATTAAATTAAAAAAAAAAAAAAGATTCTTGCCCTTATGGGCCTCACATTTATATAGTGATAGAGAGTATAAGATGACCAATAAATAAATAAATGTATAAAAATATATTACAATCCAATAAATTTCTGTGCAGGAAAAGCAAAGGAAGATGGCTAGAAATGCTATCAAAATGCCCTGTGAGGGGCTGGGAATATAATATGGCTCAGTGGTAGAGTGCTTGCCTTGCATGCATGAGACCCTGGGTTCAATTCCTCAGCATCACATAAGCAGAAAAAGCTGGAAGTGGCACTGTTGCTCAAGTGGTAGAGCACTAGCCTTGATCTGAAGAGCACAAGCACAGAACTTAGGCCCAGATTTCAGGCCCCATGACCGGCAAAAAAAATGCCCATGACCCAAATCAAGCTTAGTTCAAATTCACCCTAGTATTTATAGTCTTTGCTGATAACACCCCAAACATTCCACCTCACATCCTCAGAATCATTGTCTTTTTCATTTCCAGTCATATTGATTATGCCTTGTAAATATTCTTTGAACCATTGCAGTCCTTACATTTTTATTCAACATGACCTTACAGTGCTCCCTTAATTATCTATTTACTATTTCCAGATAGTTCACTTTCTGAAGTCCATTTACTTCTTTTTTTTCTTTTTCTTTTTTATTGTAAAGATACTAAACAGAGGGTTACAGTTACATGAGTAAGGTAATGAGTACACTTCCTATTGAGCATTGTTACCCCCTCCATTGTTTTCCCCCTACCATTCCTTCCTTCCCTACCTTCCCCAAGGTTCTTTTTTTTAAAAAAAAAAATTGTGATTAAGTAATTACATAATTTCCCGAATTTCACAGTATTGTGGAATAATGGTGCTCATTTAAAGTCACAAGTTCATTCTAACTTTCCTGGAGCAAATTGTCTATCACAGTCTATAACATATAACGGTGTACACATGTTATACACCATACATGTGATCAGCATGGGCATATTTAGTAGTGGTTCAACCAGATGAGTGGGAGTTCTTTGTTTCTTAAGTCCTGTTAGTTTTGTCGTATCACCTAACATTTTGGATTTAGCATCCACTTATCAGGGAGACCAGGTACCGTTTGTCTCTTTGCTCTTTGCTTACCTTGCTCAACATGATTCCTTCTAGCTCCATCCATGTCCCTGCAAATGCCATTATTATGTTATTTCTAATGGCTGCATAATATTCCATTGTGTATAGATACCATAATTTTTGGATCCATTCATCTGTGGTGGGGCATCTGGGTTGTTTCCATATCCTAACTATTGTGAACAGTGCTGCAATAAACATGGAGGTGCACGTGTCCTTGTATATTGGTTCCTGTTGTTCAGGGTAGAGGCCTAGAAGTGGTATGACTGGGTCGTAAGGGAGGTCAATCTTTAGCTTTCTAAGGACCCTCCAGACTGCTTTCCAAAGTGGTTGTATAAGTGTACATTCCCACCAGCAGTGTAATAGGGTTCCTCTTTCTCCACATCCCCTCCAGCATTTGTCGTTGGTTGATTTGTGGATGTGGGACATTCTGACTGGGGTAAGGTGGTATCTCAGGGTTGTCTTTATTTGCATTTCCTTCATCACCAGGGATGATGAACCATTTCCTCATGTGTTTCTTTGCCATTTTTATTTCTTCATTTGAGAAGTCCCTCTTTAGTTCCCTTGCCCATTTAGTAATTGGTTTGTTAGGTTTGGGAGGGATTAGTTTCTTGAGTTCCCTGTATATACAGGATGTTAACCCCTTGTCTGATATATTGCTGGTAAATATTTTTTCCCAATTAGTTGGTTGTCTTTCTAGCTTGGTTGCGATAGATTTAGCTGTGCAGAAGCTTTTTATTTTAAGGTAGTCCCATTTGTCGAGTCTCTCTCCGTCCATTTACTTCTATACAAAGCTTAAGATACAAAGAGAGACCATCTAGCCATAAGGTTACCATCTTCATCCCCAGAGAGAGGCCAGTTAATTTTTTTACTGTGATTCATAAAAACATAAAAATGTACATATAAATAGAACCCCATGTTATACTTTAGTACATGTTATATTGCATAATGTTCAAATCAGATCAAAGATCTGATCACTTCTTTGTGATGAAAACTTTCAAAATCTAGCTCTTTTATTTTATTTTGTTGGTCATGGGGCTTGAACTCAGGTCCTGGGCACTGTTCCTGAGCTCTTTTGCTCAGGGCTAGCACTCTACCACTTTGACCCACAGCTCCACAGTTTCTAGCTTTTTTAACTGTGTAGTATATTATTGTCGTCTATAGTCCCTCTATTGTATAGTAGCAGACCAGAACTGCTTGCTCCAATCTAACTGTAACAAGGCAGTTTGTTCTAATTAACTGTGGGTTTCAGGGAAACAATTACATCTACTATAGAATAGCCATCCAGTTACTTCCTGTCTGTGTACTGTATTTTAATGCTCTGAAAAATGCCTTTTGTTACTTTCATTGTTTCGTTCCCCCTTTCCACCTTTCACTAGAAAGCAGGGTATTTGTTGTGCTTTCAAAAATAAAGGCACATAATATTCTATACACAGTTATTAATGATTGAATGATAAATGATTCATACTTCGTCTAATCTTAGCCTAAATTAATGAGGTATTACTCTGAAACATCATGAAATAATCTCATGAGTTGGTTCTTGAGGAAAATACCACTGATTTCTTTTGTTCAGGAAAACAGAAATACTGGCTCATAAAGAAAATCATAAGGATGGCTCACACACACACACATATATATATATGTATATATATATATATATAATATTTTATCTAATTAAAAACCTCAACAGCTAAAACTCATTGATCCCCCACACTTCCCCCTACCGTTTTGGTTTTTTTGTTGTTGTTTTGTTGTTTGGTTTTTTTGGTGTGTTGGGGTTTTTTTTTGTTTTTTGTTGATCATGGGTCTTGAACTCTAGGCCTGGCTGCTGTCCCTGAGCTCTTCAGCTCAAGGCGAGCACTCTACCACTTGAGCCACAGTGACACTTCTGGTTTTTCTGGTGGTTAATTGAAGATAAAGAGGTGTCACAGACTTTCCTGTCTGGGCTGGCTTTGAACTGGCTTTGAACCTCAATCCTCAGATCTCAGCCTCCTGAGTAGCTAGGATTACAGACGTGAGCCACTGGCGCCCGGCCCCTCCACCTTTTGATGTATAAGGGCACAAATATAAAACTTCAGTGTTCGATTAGGTAACTAATGCCAAAAATTAAGTTTCATTCGGGATGCTATTGAAGCAAATTGTTTCATATCTTTGTTTCATATATTTGAAGAATTTGTAAAGGATCTAGAAGTAGGTAAGAATATAATTCTGACATCAGAATACCTGATTCTGCTATTTATTTGTGAAGTAACATTGGACAAATTACTTGTAATTATAATAATGAAATGCCTACCTTAAACTGTTGTCATGAAGAATACAATTAGAATAGTGTCATGGTTGTTAGCTCTCTCAGGTATTCAAGGTTACTGTTGTTCTTTTTATGCAGATTTATATTTAGTTGTTACTTGTCTCAAATAACTTTCTTGAAGTGAGATTATTTTAGTTAAGGTACAGTCAAATATAACTAGTTACCAATCATGTTAAAAGCAACACTTCATATGGTTTCTTGAATTTCAACACTTTATATGGCTTCTTGAATGTACTAATATTAACTCTGTTTCAATTGGGGTTATCTTCCATTTAATTTTCAGGAGAATCCTCATTGACACTGGAGAACCCTCAATTCCAGAATATATCAGCTGTTTAAAGAAAGCTCTGGCTGAATTTAACACAGCAATCCAGGAGATCCTAGTGACTCATTGGCATAAGGATCATTCTGGAGGCATAGAAGATATTTGTAAAGACATCAATAATGGTAATCAGAAAGCTTTAAGCTCATTGGGGAAAGCTATGTTTGGGAAATGATTTATAATTTAAGCAAACCATAAACTATTATTAATTTAAGTAAACCATAAACTATTACTAAATAGCTTATATTCAAGTGGTACTTTTGGAAATTAGTAAGCTTTGAATACTATCTTCAATTTTGACAAAAGAGAAAAGGAAAAGTTTCTTTAATCCACCTTCATACACTTAGGTTCATTCATTCATTAAGATGACTACTATATGTCAAATATTGTTCTTGGCACAAAAGATTTATTGGTTAACAAAAAGACCGCTCTTGTGAAGCTTTCATTATACGAGGGAAGTGTTTGCCAAAGGAACTCATAATCTCTCAGCCCGACTTTTCCCACTCTAATCAATATATACTAAATTTCAAACAACTACACTAAGTTAAACTACTCCAAGGATTCTTTAATTGGTTTTGTCACTTCGGTCAACTCTCTTTTGACACATGTCAGTTTTGAAAACTTAAATATTTATGGTTCACTTTTTTCTTAACTAAATCAGCTTCACTGAGCTTTAATTTACGTACCTATAGCGTGTCCATTTTAAGTAGAACTTGGTGCATTTTAACAAATGTAAGTACCTACCCAGCCCTAGAACACCTACAAAGAGACCCCTCTCACATCTAGCCTCTCAACCACTGATCTTCAGTCTTTCATAGTATGATAACCTTTGCCTATTGTAAAGCCACACATAGTGGAAGAATACATAATCACGCTCTTTTTCTGCTTTCGTTTGTCATCAATTTGAAATGCGCCCATCTTCCAGGTATCAGTCATTTTGTTCCTTTTCGTTGCCAAGTATTACCATAACTTATTTGTCCCTTCACCTGTTAACAGACATTGACCCATTTCCTTTAAGTTAAAATAGTGTTGGATTAATACAGAGTAATAAATATTTGTATAACACATTATATGGTCAATTGATTTAAAGAAAACACTGGAGAAATCTAACACTGCTTCTTATGGAAACTAAGTTATGCTTGTCTTGAGAAGAGGTATTCTTTCTGAAATGTTGGAGTTAGACAAGTTACTTGAAGACCTTGGATGGTTTAGCATTGAAATTGTGCAGAAGTATCTTTCTTCAAAAGTTGTTATTTCTTCATTTTCTAAGTCCTAGAATGGGAATGGTGGCTCAGCTATAATCTCAGCCATGTGGGAGGCCATAGATAGGAGGATTTTGGTCTGAGGCCAGCAGCCCCAGACCAAAAAATAACAAAGCACAAAGGGAATGGGGCTCAATAATATAATATCTGTCTAGCAAGTCAAAATCCTGAATTCAAAGCTGGGGACTACAATTGATTAACTCTTTTTTTAATTTTTTAAATTCTAAATCAGCATTTTTGCCCATTTTCTTTACTGTTATTTTGCTTCATATTCTTTTATAGTTTTAATGGTTGGTAAAGTATAACTCTTTTAAGTACTCTGCAGTGCCAACTACCTTTATTTTTCTTATAAGCCACACCAGATATGTAAATGCCACTTATAAGTGACAGTCAATGTGAAGCACCTTCATTACAGAACTTTCAAGCACAATCAGATATTTGGGAACTCACAGTGAATTACAGGGAGATGGAATTTTACTGTGTGATAAGTATAAAGTCCTGGCCTGCTTGCATATTCTGCTTTGGTTTGGTTCTGAATAAAACTTGTAAAACATATTTTACAAATATTATAAATATATATTACAATTATCTGATAATTAAGTATCATTTTTGCAACTGAAGTTGGGTCTCTGCCACATATTGCACATCTGAATCAAAGGAATCAAGTATCCACATTTATGCTATTCAATTAAGATTTTGTGTATGTGTGTGCACCAGTCCTAAGACTTGAACTCAGAGCTTTCTTGCCCAAGGTTTGAGCCACTTAAGCCACAGGTCCACTTCTGGCTTTTTTAATACTTAGTTGGAAACAAGAGTCTCATGGACCTTCCTGCCCCAGCTGGCTTTGAATTGAACTACGATAGTCAGATCTCAGCCTCTTGAACAGCTAGGTTTGTGGGCATAAGCCACTATTGCCCAGTGTAAGATGTATTTTTAACTAGAAATTATTACTCACAAACAATATCACATTGGTATCAGCTTAAATGATTAGCATATTGCCAGTAATGTTACAGGCCATCAATTAGATAGCCTAGGTTGGTTCCTATTAAGATAATTATAACAAACAGAAAATAAAGTGATTGCCAGAAGCTAGGAAGGAAGGAATAGGAAGTAGCTACCACAGGGCTCAGTATTTCTTTGGGGGACCTTACAAATTAGATAGCAGTGATAGTTGTACAATTCTTGATCCTAGTAAAAGGCTACTGTTGTACAGATAAAAAGGCACAGTTGTACTGTGGACTTCCTCTAGAGTCTCTTATGAATAGGCTGTTTTATTTTTGTTTACATATAATTTTGAAAACGGACACAAGTTAGAGAGTGACATAGTTGCGTAATTCTGAGATAATGGTGATTGCTTTGGGTTTTGTTTTTTGGGGGAAGGGTCTCCCTACAAAGCCCCAAGCTGGCCTGCAACTAATGATCTTCCTTCAACTGCCTCCCATGTGCTGGAATGATAGGCCTTAAAAATATTATTTTGATTAAAAGCATTAGAGTTCCACCATCTTAATCTGTTATGTAATGTTAGTTCCCAAAGAAACGTTTGTTTTTTTTTTCCTTCAATCTCCAAGATACAAAATAAAAGAGTTTGAGGTTGGAAAGTTCTGTTTGCTATTTTATGTTTATATTTCAATGTTTATTATCTTCTTTACTGTGTTAGGCTGATCCCTATGCCTTGTCAGTTCTAATTTGGGGTGTTTTTTTTTTTTCTCCCTTCATGTTTCTAGTGCTGTCACTGTATTCATTATCTTCAGTTGAGTTATTACAGCTGCCACCTCCTGGTTCTGTCTGATCCTCCAGCTTTACTGTCCCTACTTACAGTTGCCATACTGAACCTGTTAACACCCTCTCACTACCTTATTTAAAAGTGGGTAATGCATCCTACCCATAATTTGAAACCCTTTTGTACAGCTATTTTAAAATACTAAAAAGTAAAATAAAAATACTAAATAAATTTCCTTTTTAAATGTATCTAGTGAATACAACAGCAATGTATAAACTCCTCTATTCTGTAAAAGGCAATTTAAGGACTCCATGACCTGAACTCATCTGGCCTATCAATAGTATTTTGCATTAGACAAGTTGGGAACATTGATGTCACACTTTCAGCAAGCTCATTCTCATTCCTTTACTAATGCTATTCTTCCCATGGACTGTCTCTATACCCTTACCATCCTGCTTATCCTATAAATCACACCTCAGTTTCTCCCATTTCTGAATCCTTTACTGTTTCTCCTTTTTCTGAATTGTTTCTTTTATTAGCTGAATTGTTCTTTTAGTGTTTTGGAAACAGTACTGAGTGTAGCATCTGTTCCCCATATGTAAGTTTCATTTCCTCAATTATGGCAGTTTTTAAGTTCATGTATTCTCTGTACATGTTATGTTAGTTGGATAACCAATTCAGTTGTTGATTGGTTAGGTAATGGATTCTCTTCATTTCTGTGAGGAGTAGTGTTTGTTAAATGTATTTCAAGGTCTAACATCTCATTTTCAGGTTTGGAGCTTCTATTCAACACTCACAGCAAGCTGTATGCTAACTTCGTTAACTACCGTCATGATTTTTTGATAGGCAGGTTTCTAGTTAGAAAGAAGTATCCAGTTCAAATAACTGCCTCTTCAATACCCATCCTGATATCAAAGCTCACTGAGATAATTAAAAACTGCTTTCAGAAATTTATACAAATATAAATGATTTAAAAAGTCACAAAGAGTCTGGGAAGGTGGCTCAGTGGTAGAGTGCTTGCCTTGCATGCATGAGGCCCTGGATTGGATTCCCACATAAGAAGAAAAAGCCACAAGTGGTGCTATGGCTTGAGTGTTAGAGTGCTCGCCTTGGGCTGAAGAGCTGAGGGACAGTGCCCAGGCCCAGAGTTCAGGCCCCATGACCAACAAAAAAAAAAGTCACAAAGACTTATGTAGACCTAGAGGATCATGGGAGAATTTTCAAAAATTAAATTTAAAAAAGCTTTATTGAAAATAAAGGAAATAGGAGTAAAAAAGCTTTGTTGAGGAGCTGGGAAGGTGGCTCAGTGGTAGAGCGCTTGCCTTGCATGCATGAGGCCCTGGGTTCGATTCCTCAGCACCACATAAACAAAAAGAAAAAAGCCAGAAGTAGTGCTGTGGCTCAAGTGGTAGAGTGCTAGCCTTGAGCTGAAGAGCTGAGGGACAGCACCCAGGCCCAGAGTTCAGGCCCCACGACCGGACCCCCCCCCTAAAAAAAAAAGCTTTGTTGAAATGTTTAAAAAAATACATTCCAGAGATAAACTATTATAATTAACCCATTTTTCTATTATCTTAATGTTAATATTTTATGCAGTCATTAATAAAAGTCATCTGTTTGTAAACTGATCTCTTTAAAGGTTGACTCATTAACAATGTATCTTACATATCTTTATAAATTGTGTGACTAGACACTACCTATTGCATCAAAAAACTTCCACGGAACCCTCAGAAAGAAGAAATTATAGGAAATGGAGACCAACAATATGTTTATCTGAAGGATGGAGATGTGATTAAGACTGAGGGAGCCACTCTAAAGTAAGTTAATCTTCTTAAGGAATGGTGAGCATCTGTCATAAAGAAGCAAGAAAGGCAAACTGAGGCATATTTTCCTATATGCGAATACTTTAGGAAAGATACAACAGAAATCTGATAACATTGAGTACTCTGGGGAAAGAAAATTAGTTGCTTAAGAAACCAAAAAAGGGAAGACTTTTTTTCATTTCTATATCCCCTTTTTGATTCTTTGAATTCTGTATTTTTGTACTAGGGTTTGAATTAAACCTCAACTTGCTTCGCTAGCTCTCTTTTTTTTAATTTTTTTTTTTTACTATCTTTAAGCAGTTATACAAAGGAGTTACCATTCGAAGCAGTTTATGAATATAATGTATGTTGATCAGTGTCACCTGTTTCCACATTCTCCCCTTGCTCAACTTTCTTGTTCATGACTGGCTTTCTCCCACTTGAGCCTAGCATCTAGTCCTGAAGACTACGATTTCTTTTTACATAAGTAAAATTTAAACTTTAAAAACTTAGCATTTCCATTGGATACCAGTAGCTCACACCTGTAATCCTATCTACTCAAGAGACTGCAATCTGAAGATCCCAGTTCAAAGCCAGCCCAGGAAAACCTGAGAAATTCTTATCTCCAACTAACTAGCAAAAAAACCAGAAGTAGAGGCATGGCTCAAATGGTAGAGTGCCATCCTTGAGTGAAAATAGCTAGCTAAGTGAGAGTGCACGGCCCTGAGTTCAAGCCCCAATAACAGTGCACATGCATGCACGCATATGCATGCACACACACACACACAAACTAACTTTTCCTACCTATATTTCACTTCAGGGCTTTCCCTTGTTCTCACTTTGAAAGATGACTCATACTTAGAATAAATACTAGGCCAGACTCATACCCCTCTGACCCCTGAGCAGAGTTCAGACAGGTACTTCAAACTCAGTAATTTCAAAGCTGAATTACATACAGTTATCATCTATACATACTTTCTGATCCCAGAATACCTCCTTTGCTCTGTGCTTAGGACTGTACTTATTCTTCTAAGAAAGACATTTCAGGATTACCCTTCACCTTTAACTGTTCTTCACCTTTACTATCCCTGCACACATACATGTACATGCACACACACACACACATATCCCTAATCAGGTTAGTTTTTGCTTCTGATATATTTGTTGGTGCTGTCCCCTCTTCACACTCACCACTATTAGTTACTACTTTACCTTCCTGTCTCCAGGCTCCCTGCTTCCCAGTTTACCCCTCATACACATTACTACTTGAAAACTTTCATGAGCTTACTGCCTACATCATGCTTATTCTCACGATTCATGATTGTGCTACATTGTTTTTGGTGCCCTTGTTTTTGGTCTTAACTGGCACCACTCCCTCACAGACACAATTGGCTATATGCAAATAATCCTAGACCTAGCTCATGGGTTCAAATCTTCCCCTTTACCAGATAGACACTTCTCTTATTCTTTTCTTATTCTTCATACACACATTTTACATGTTACTGACATCAAGAAATCTTTCTGGGGGGCTGGGAAGGTGGCTCAGTGGTAGAGCGCTTGCCTTGCATGCCTGAGGCCCTGCGTTCAATTCCTCAGCACCACATAAGCAAAAAGAAAAAAGCCGGAAGTGGCGCTGTGGCTCAAGTGGTAGAGCGCTAGCCTTGAGCTGAAGAGCTGAGGGACAGCACCCAGGCCCAGAGTTCAGGCCCCACGACCGGACCAAAAAAAAAAAAGAAAAATCTTTCTGGGCTGAATTAACTGCTCCAGCTTTCATGTAATTTATGTTAATTCATTAAAGCACTTATTAAATTGTATTATAGTTTGTATATGTGTGGGTAGATACATTATTCAAAAGTAATCAGCTCCTTAAATTCATAGTCATAGCTAATATTTGTTGCCATAGCAAACCAATTTGCAATTAGGTAATGGCTTAACAGTGTATTGCAATTCACATAAAGTCCACAAAAGGTTCCTGATTAGCCAGTGGCTGTCAGATAGGCTAGAGACTTGGGTGCCTTCCATCTAATGATTCCACACTTACCTGCACCTGGCTCTCAGGGTTGCCATGCACACCTCAGTCAGTCCAGTAAGTAGAAAAGAGCATGGTAGGTGTTACTAAGCAGTTACGCTGCGGGTCACTGTAGCTGTAGGAAACCTAGAAAATACTATTTTGTACCATGTCCAGGAGAAAGAGAATATAGATTTGATAACTAGCTAGCTGTTCTCCAGCACAGGCTGATGGCAATGCATCTTTAAATCCTCAGTTTCTGGCATATAGAAGGTGCTGAATATTTATCCTATTAAGTAGTAAATATCTATAAAGAAGCAAGTAGATTAACAGTTGAATAAAAAAGGGAAAATGAGGTAATGTTCTTTCAAATCAATACCCTGTTTTTTCTACTATGCCAGTTATTTTAACTATTCTTGATAATGCATTTCCTCTATAGCAATCCAGTCCTAGGCCAAGTGAATGGGATAGATAGCTGCAGACAGTAGCAAGTACTTTATTGAGTATTCTATCTTAAAAGTTGGGGGATCACAGTACTGATTACTACACTTATCTATACCTAATTTTGCAGATTAAGACTTTCCACCCCTTGCTGGATGTCAGTAGCTCATGCCTGTCATCCTAGTTACTCAGGACACTGAGACCTAAAACTCACACAGCTCAATGCCTTCCTGAGGGAAAAAGTCCACAGATTCCATATCCATATAACCAGCAAAATGCCAGATTAAGGCAAGTCTCAAATGGTACAGCACTATCTCTAAGTAATGGAAATGATTGCTGATTTTAATCTCTAAGTACTTTCCTACTTTCCAAATGTGTTATCTTGTGCTTATAAAGTAAGAAGAAAAGGTGAGAAAGCATTAAATTTGCACTTGAAAGATACATACTTTAATGAAGAAAATAGTCTAATGTTCAGTGGGCACAACAAAAAAAAGAGCTGCTTATGCAGCACATTGGCATTATTTATCGATGTCTTGTCCAAAAATAAGGACAGAGAATAATTTCTACTTCAACATTTGCTCTCCATGAAGAGTCTATTTGTTATTTTGTTGTTTAATGATAGAGGTTTTTTTCAACCAGAGTTATCTACACACCTGGCCACACTGATGACCACATGGCTCTACACTTGGAAGAGGAAAATGCTATCTTTTCTGGGGATTGCATCCTTGGGGAGGGAACAACTATATTTGAAGACCTATATGATTATATGAACTCCCTAAAAGCGTTATTGAAAATCAAAGCTGCTATTATATATCCAGGTGGGTAAGTTTTAATCTGGCAAACAATGAATGTTCATTTTGGTTTGTGTCTCTGTATTCATCCTTGAAGAAATATATATATATATACATATATATATATTTATATATAATACTTTTTATATTTTCAGTGATGTATATTAAAAGATTTTATAAAAGATTCATACATGTATATAATACTATGATCATATTTACCTACAATCCCCCTCACCTTTCCCTTCTGCCCACTAGTGTTGTGGAGAGAGGAAGGGATAAAAGAAGGTGAGATTGGAAATAAATTTCCTATTAGTCACCCTTAGTCACCCTTCTCTTTGATAGGATGGTTTTGTTTGTTTTTTGTTTTTAATGTAGATTACATATGTGAGAAAAAATACAAAATATTTGTCTTTCTGAGTCTAGCTTATTTCACTTCACATAGTGATCTTCCATTCCATCCATTTTTCCTTAACATGATAATGATTTGGTACTTCTTTATAACTGAGCAAAAGCATATAATATATGTGTGTGTGTATATATATATATATAGGTGCTTTTGCTCAGATAGATAGATATATACACACATACATATCTTCTTTATACATTTATCTATTGATCACTAGGCTAATTCCATATCATTTCTGTTGAGAATATTGCTAAAGTAAACATCTATGCGCAGGTATATCTTATTATATACTGACTTTGATCCCTCCAAGTCTATACCCAGGAGTGGGTATAGCTAGATTATACAATGTTCTGTTTTTATTGCTTGAGGATCCTCTATATTGTTTTCTATAGTTGCCAGACTAATTCATATTCCCACCAACAGTATGTAAAGGTTCCTTGTTCTACATACATCCTCACCAGCCTTTGTTGTTTTTATTGTTGTTGTTGCTGTTTATATTCTTGATCATAGCCAATCTGAGTGGGATGAGATAGAAGCTCATGTAGTTTTGATTTACATTTACTTGAGAAGCATCCCTTCTTTGCAATTAAAGAGAAGGCCACCACCAGTTACATTAATAATAACCTTAAGGAGAGTTCTTGTCAATGTCTGCACACTAATAAATACAAACATAAGCTTGCATTGAAATAAGAAAACATTTTTCTTTGTTTTGTGAAAGGAGTGGGGAGGCTGGAGGGGAAAAAGCTACTGTCATTTTGGCTAACTTGATTTCTGTTGTGAACCATAATTTAGTTGTGTCACCTTGGCCAACATTTGACCTCTAAACTTTAGTTTCTTAACAATATTGAAATATCAGTAGTTTCCATAGCAACTGTAAAACAGTATATTTATTTCCATTCATCAGAAAAAGAACCCTGTTGTTTGTATCTCAGATATCATTGCACTGCTCTATAGTATGACTCCCCCTCCATCCTACAAACTACAAAAAAAAAAAAAGTACTCAGAGAGAAGTCCCAGAAGGAAAAAGAAACAAGATTACTTGATTTTCTAAGTCCACCTAACTTGCTTCTAACCAAATAGCTAAGAAAAGATCTGTCAGTACAGATCAGTATACTTACATTCTCTCATGAAATCAGACTGCTCAGGGACAGGAAACCCACAGTGGAGCTAAGCATTTAGATTAATACCAAGCTATAAAGGCATATGTGTTCATAGCTGTTTTAGAGAAGAGAAGAGATGCATGGTACAATCCCATTCAAGCTAGACCAATAAGAAGCTGCTTGGATGTGATTATTTGGATAAATGCCCAAAAGTGGGATTGCTGGGTCGTAGGGGAGCTCTATATGGAGTCTTCTGAGGAACCTCCGTACTACTTTCCAAAGTGGTTGGACAAGTTTACACTCCCACCAACAATATTCCCTTTTGGCCACATCCCCTCCAGCATCTGTTGTTACTAGACTTCTTGTTTCTAGCCATTCTAATTGGAGTGAGATGGAATCTCAATGTTGCTTTCATTTGCATTCCTTTTATGGCTAGGGAGGTTGAGCATTTCTTCATGTGTCTATTGGCCATTCTTATTTCCTTTTCAGAGAAGTCTCTATGTCTTAGCCCACTTATTTATTGGGCTGTTGTTTCTTTAAGGATTTGTTGTTGGGGGATTTAATTTTTTGAGTTCTAAGTATATTTTAGATAGGAGACCTTTGTCTGTTACATAGCTAGTGAAGATGTTCTCCCAACCCGTGGGCTTTCTATTGATCTTGCTAGCTATGTCCTTTGCCATGCAGAAGCTCTGCAGTTTTATGCAATCCCATTTGTCCAACCTTTCTTTGATTTATTGTGTTTCTGGGTCTTTATTAAGAAAATTATGGCCTATGCCAAGAAGCCCTAGAGTTTCTCCTATTCCTTCTTGTAATGTTTTCCAGGTGTCTGCTTTGACTTTGAGGTCTTTGATCCATATGGAGTTGATTCCGGTGCAGGGTGATATATAAGAATCTAGCTTTAGTTTTCTACAACTAATTTTAGTTTTTATAACCAGTTTTGCCAGCACCATTTACTGAAGAGACTTTCTTCCATTCTATTTTTTTTAGCTCTCTTGTCAAAGATTAGGTGGCTATAGGTCTGTGGGTTCATTTCTGGGTTTTCAGTTCTATTCCATTGGTCCTCAGGTCTGTTCTTGTGCCAGTATCAAGCTGTTTTGATTACTATGGCTTTGTAGTAGAGTTTGAAATTTGGTATTGATATTCCTCCAGCACTGTTCTTTCTGTTAAGGATGGATTTTGCTATTTGGGGTCTTTTATTGTTCCATATAAATTTTTGGATTGCTTCTTCTATTTCATTGAAGAATGAGGTTAGGATATTGATAGGTATTGGATTGAATTTGTAGAGGAAATGGTTTGGCATTTCACCATTAAGTATAATACTGGCTGTAGGTTTGTCATACACAGCCTTTATTATATTGAGGAATGTTCCATGGATTCCTGGTTTCTCCAGAGCTTTCATCATAAAGGAGTGCTGCATCTATTGAGATAATCATGTGGTTCTTATCCTTGTTCTTGTTGATGTGATGAATTATATTGATTGATTTACTTATATTGAACTATCTTTGCATCCCAGAAATGAATCCTGTTTGATCATAGTGTATGATTTTTTTGATGAGTTATTGAAATCGATTGGCCAAATTTTTGTTGAGAAGTTTTGCATCAATGTTCATCAAAGAAATGGGTCTATAGTTCTCTTTCTTTGATGAGTCCTACCTGGTTTGAGGTTGAGAGTTATGATGGCTTCATAGAAAGAGTTTGGTAGTGAAACAAGGCCATACTAAAGCTACCAGCACAACTATGTTTATTGCAGCATTATTCACCATAGCTAAGATATGGAACCAACCCAGATGCCCCTCAGTAGATGAATAGATCAAGAAAATGTAGTGTGTGTGTGTGTGTGTGTGTGTGTGTGTGTGTGTGTGTGTGTGTGTGTGTGTGTGTGTGTATATATATATATATATATATATATTAATTCTATGCCTCCATCAGAAAGAATGGCACTGTCCCATTTGTTAGGAAATGGAAAGACTTGGGAAAAAATCAGATTTAGTGAAGTAAGCCAGACCCAAAGAAACATAGGTTCCATGGTTTCCCTTATTTGTGATAACTAGTATAAGTCTAGGATAATCTTATCAGACAAGCAGAAAAGGTCAAAAACTGTACATATGACCATATAAGATGATGCTAAGTAAAATGAACCCCAAGATAGGAACACAAGATGTTTTATCTTTGTTGTGTTGTTTTTAATGTACTATGTGATTTGTTTTTGTTTCTTTTGTATGGTTTCCTCCTGTGGTATGACCCCTGTTTTCTCTGTATTTGATTCCGATGCCCTGCATCTTGTATATGCATTTTTCTAATTTAGGGAGGGGAAGGGAAATAACAAAATGCTGAATTAAGCATACAGGGTGACCCATTTTAACAATGAGATGTACAAGACACTATGTTGAAAACGAACTTTACAGCTTGTGGAGGGGGAGAGAAGGGATGGTAGGGAAAAACAAAGGGAGTAACAATGCTAGATGCTCATTACTTTACTCATGTAGATGTAACCCCTCTGTACAGTATCTTTACAATAAAAAATACTTTTTTAAAAAGCTGCTTGCAGAAGATTCTTAAGAGTGTTTTATTCAGCGAACTGGCATTTTATTAGCACAGAGGTTGTTTATATGTAAATTATGTTCTGTAGTCATAGCTACCATGCATTAAAGCCTGCTACCCAACAGGTAGGATGTGGAGGCTTTTGCATCTGTTACACTTACAAAAACCCCAATGAAACAGGTAGTGATATCCTCATACAACTGAAGAAATGTGGGGAGAGACACAAACTTCCCTTACAGAGTTATTAAGTAATTAGCTAAGAGCTAATCATCCATATCTAACCAAAGCCCAATGTCCTTTTATTTTTTCCTGTTTCTTCTTTTTTTTTCTTTTCTTTTCTGTTCAGGTACTAGGGATCACACTTAGGATGTTGCACTTGCTAGGCAAGCACTTTGCCATTTCGCTGCATCCCAGCCCCCAGTGTTCTTCTCTGGCTTTTTTCATTTTGCTTATGTGGTGCTAAGGAATCGAACCCAGGGCCTCATGCATGCAAGGCAAGCACTCTACCACTGAGCCACCTTCCCAGCCCAGCACCCAGTGTTCTTTATGTGAGAATAAGTTATCCTGCATCGGGACATTTTGTTCTTAGATATTTGGTTGTTTTCTGGGTTTTTTATTTTCTGGGTTTTTGTGTTTTTTTCTTTGTTTTTTATTGTTGTTGTTGTTGTTGTTTAACCAGTCCTGGGGCTTGAACTCGGCCTGAGCACTGTCCCTGAGCTTTTGTTCAAGGCTATCACTTTACCACTTGAGCCATAGCACCACTTCTGCCTTTTTCTGGTTATGTGATGTTAAGGAATTGAACCCAGGGCTTCATGCATGCTAGGCAAGCACTTACTACTAAGCCACATTCCCAATCCCCGTTCTCAGATATTTGAAACATACCTTTTCTAGGCTTTTATAATATATTGATTTGTGTGTAAGTAAATTTCAATATAATTTAACCTGAGTTGTAAAAATCTTTGAATTAGTAGCCTAGATATAAGATTCTTAATGTTCTACTATGGATCTTGTGAGATTATTTTTGTGTGCCAGTCCTGGGGCTTGAACTCAGGGTCTGAGCACTGCCCTAATCTATTTTGCTCAAGGTGAGTGCTTTACCACTTGTGCCACAGCTCCACTTCTGGCTTTTTGATGATGAATTAGAGATAAGAATCTCACAGACTTTCCTACCCAGGCTGGTTTTGAACTTCAGTCCTCAGATCTCAGCCTCCTGAGTAGCTAGGACTACAGGCATGAGCTACCAGTGCCCCTGCAATGGTCTTTTCTGCTATCATGAATAGCTATGATTATCCAATGTCAAGTGATACTGGGTTCACAGTATCTGCACTTGACTTCAAAGTAGTAGCTAAGATTACAAGCATGAACCACCAGTGCACATCATCAGTCTTGTGAATTCTTAATGGATCTTAGTCTGCTTTCCACATTTCTACCATTCATTCTTTTATAAGTAAAATTTGACCACTGTCGTTAAGAGAAAGCAGAATGCTTAAAAATTGCTAGTCATAATCCAAGCTTTATCCAATGTAGCTGTATGACTTTGGGAAGATCATCTACCCTACCTGTGCCTCAGTGTGCTATAAAAAAGGTGATAATAGTCATACTGACTTCATGGGACTCTTGTAAACACAGTGTACTTTAAGCATGTGAGTAACACCCACCACATAACATTTTACAAACATTACCTATTGTTATGTTGTAGTTGCTGTTTTTATCATGTCTTTTTGTATGCATTTTGTATCATTATAAAGTTTTTTTGTATGTACATATAATTTTTATTTTATTTTTATATAAAATGTTTATGTCTCTTGCAGCAAATAATATTTGTATGCTTAACCACTTGTTCTATGAATTAATTTTAAGTAGAGTGAATTAACTTTGAGTTTACTTAAAATTTTTATTTGAGGTAATTTCATCATTATTTTAATTCAGGACATGGCCCAGTAATCCATGATGCTGAAGCTAAAATTCTACAATATATTTCTCACAGAAACAATCGAGAAGAGCAAATCCTCACATTATTTCGTGATAACTTTGAAAAATCATTTACAGTGATGGACATGGTAAAAATTATATACAAGGTAATTTGTCATTACTTGTACATAGTCACAGATCTATTCAAACAATCTATTTAATAGACCTTATATGATAAACCTACCATATCCTGTCAGACTCAGTTTGTGAATTTTATAAGTGGTGCTTTTATAAATAATGCTACTTGTTGAAAATTGAGACCAGCAATTTCACTTTATAGAATATGAAAGTTAAACAATAACATTCCTCTTCCCCCAAAAAATTGTCCATAGAAAACAAAATTAGCCATCTTGAGCCAACCCAGTCAGGCTTCATATTGTAATCTCCAGATCTCAGCCTCCAGTAGCTATAATTACAGGAGTAAGCCACCAGCATCCCACTACATTGGATTCTGACTGAGGTAATTTGCACATCTTGGTAGAAGGTTTTTAAGAAGTTAAGAAATGAAGGAAGTAGATTTATTCAAGCTTGGCATCAGGACTGTAATCCCAATTTAATGGATAAAACAAACATTTGCCATGTTTCTTACCCAGATAACAGTTATCAGTACTTCATTATTTTAGTAAAAGTAAAGGAAACCATGCCTTGTATAACGACATTATCGTGTAACCTGAATATTTATACATTTATTACTTAATCTGTATATATTAATTATATCCTGTGTGCCATGGTGTTGACCACTAGGAATTTATTAGTGAGTAAATTAGTTACACTGTCATTTTTTGTGGCACTTAGTCTATTTTATCTGTAAGAATATAATGTCTTACAGTAAAACCATGTACAAGGTAAAATCTTTTACTTTGTTACTATTTAAAAATGTGTTTAAGTTAAACTTTTATATTTTGTGTATATTTTGTTTTCCCTTAATGCTTTCAAAAAATTAAGTGTTCTTTAAAAAGAATGAAAATAAAAATGTTTGTCTTTTGCCTTTATTATTCTTTTAGAATATTCCTGAGAATTTACATAAAATGGCTGAACATACTCTCTTGCTTCATTTGAAAAAACTAGAAAAAGATGGAAAAATATGTAAGTGAACTTCCAAATTTGAATTGTTTCACTTATTAACATGTAAAATGTTTTTGTACACTTACTACTTTCCTATTTGGAAAAATAGTACCCATCAGAGTTCACTATTGAATGTCATATCATGTTTGGTTAGAGAGACAGGCTCTAGAATGGTTGGCAGCACCAAGCAAATTGGCCACAAGTTGAAACCAAAAGCTCCCACAGCAATTAGAACATCTTGTAGGGTTCTAGGGTGCACCACCATAATGCCAGCCAGAGGTATGTATCACAAGGAAGAATCTTACATGTGAAGATTTGGAAATAAGCATAGGTTTTATGTAAGTGCTAGTAAAGTTAGTGAAGTCAATACACTAAGGTAGTAATCCTTGTAATTTACTAGCATGAAATTAATTGGTCAAAATCAGCAATCTTTATGAAAGTTTAGTCCTTAAAATCAAAACGTTCTTCAAAGCTTGAATTTTGTATAGAGGCCTCAGCTTTTCTAATAAAAAAGAACCTTTATTAAGTCAAAAATATATTTTTAAATGTATGCTTTTTCTAATCAAAGACAGTAAAAATCTGCTTGACTTACCTTTTGTTTTTACCTTATTTTCTTTCTACAGTTAGCAACATGGATCCTGACAAGAAATGGAGATCTGTACTTTAGTTTCAGATTAATGAAAGTCTGGCTCAGTTTGATTTAAGAACATGATATCTTTCCTTACCTATAAATTATTTACAGAGAATATAGAATGTGGAGCTCTGAAAATAAGCCTAGATATACTTAAAGACAATGCCAGAAGGAAAGGCACAGAACAAGTGAGCAAGTATAATGATGGTACTCACTGGACACTATGTTGAAAATGGGGAGGGGGAAATGGGGGAGAAAACCTGGGAGAGAGCGAGAGAAGAGGTGACAATGTCCAAAAAGAAATGCACTCATTACCTGGCTTATATAACAATAACCCTCTGTACATCACCTTTATAACAATACAATTTAAGACAATGTCATATGTATTCTGAATATATAAATTTCATTGTACATCTTGGATATAAATTATTTTTACCTAAATAAATTATAGTTATCTAAGCTTGGTCTTACATTGTACCAAGAAGCCAGAAACCAACACTTCACCAACTTTCTATGAATTAAGTAAAATGGTAACTTAAAAATAATAAAATTTACATAGTGGAAACCAGATATTACTCTTGGAGATTAGTTCTCTATTACTAGTGGTTAGAAATACTGTTTTGTCTGCTGCTTCAGTTAACAATACAGACTTCTACATACACCTTCCTTTTCTTCAACCTTTGTCTACGTCTGCATACCAGCTTTATTTTCATGTTGCCATCAACTGCATTATGATTAAATATAGTTCTGTGGTTCTGGATTATGTTGTACTCCTCCTATAATACTTATCCCTCAAACAATCCATGTAAATCAATTTTTAGTGAGTGAAAAACATTGTCATAAAATGAAAATATTACATGAGTAATTGTTTTGTAATACGTTAGTGCAGCCACTATAGTTGCCAAGATTAGATTTTAATGTATTAGTAGTCATCAGCTTACATATAAATTTTATACCAAAAGTTTTTTAAATGAATCAAGGTAGGAGTTTTTAAATGCAAATAGTGTTATTAAATAGCAGTTTACAGATAGCTCCAAATGCTTAAAAATGCTTTAAAAATCAACCCATCTCAATGAGCAAAGAGTTTGAATATACTTGACATTTCTCCCAAGAAGAGATAAAAATTGCCAATAATCACATAAAAAGATGTTAAGTACTTATGGCTCATGCCTGTAATCTTAGCTACTCAAGAGACTGAGATCTGAAGATCACAGTTCAAAGCCAGGAAAGTCTGTAAGATTCTTATCTCTAGTTAATCACCAGAAAACCAGAAGTAGAGCTGTAGCTCAGCTTTGAGCAAAAGAGTTCAGGGACAAGGCCTAGGTCCAGAATTCAGGCTCCATGACTGAGTGTATTTGTGTGGGAGGAGGAAGGAGGGAGGGAAGGATTCCTTATTAGAAATGATTAAAGAAATGGCAAATCCAAATTACATTAAACTGTTCATGCCCATTAAGATAGCTATTATTGAAAAACAGAAGAAGAAAAGAAAATAACAAGTGTTGGGAAAATGTGGAAAAATTAGAACCCTGTACATTACTCTTAAGTCCATAAAACAGGGTAGCCTCTGTGGAAAACAGTATGGTGATTTCTCACAAAATTAAGCCTTAAAAGGCCTGTCAGGTTAACACATCTGTAATCCTAGCTCTGGAGGTATAGCTCTGGAGCTAAAAACTTAAGACCCATCTCAACAAACAAGATGACCATGGTAGTGCAAATCTGTAATCCCAGCTATTCAGCATGCGTTGGTGAGAGGATCACAGCCCAAGGCCAACCCCAGAGAAAAAGTGTAAGACCCTATCTGGAAGAACAGCTAAAGCACAAAGGCTGGGGACAGGTTCAAGTATGTATCCACTAAGGAGTGAACAGACAAACAAAATGACATATTTGTCACAACGGAATAGTTTTCCATCTTAAAAAGAAATTCCTACGCATGCTACATCATGGATGCATCTCGAAAGCATTATGCTAAGTTCAGTAAGCCAGTCACAAAAGCACAAATACTATATAACTCCCGTTAGCATTCAGGGGTGGGAACCTTTTTTCTGTCAAGGACCATTTGGCTAGTTATGACATCATTGGCAAATTTATCAAATTTCACTTTGAAAAAAGGCTCCTTGAAGTGCCATATTTTGAGTCTTGTCTTCAGTTGCCTTGGCAGGGCCAGCCAAATGACTTTGGGACACCAAAGTCTCCAACTGGACATTTCCCACCTCTGAATTATATGAGGGACCTATCATAGTCAAATCCATAGAAGTAGAATAGTAAATGCAGAAGAAACTGGAGTGAGGGGAGATGGAGAGCTAGAGTTTTGTAGGTAAAATTTAAATTTGGGATGATGAAAAAGTTCTGGAGACAGATGGAGGTAGTGATTACAAATAGCGTGAATTACTAAATTCCATGGAATGACTGAAATGATATAAAAATCACAAGTGTACTCCCTTATTCCACCACCAAAAATAAATGTCAATAATTCCATATTCCTCTCTAAGAAATGTGACTATGAGCCAGACACCAGTGGCTCACACCTATAATCCTAGCTACTCAGAAGGCTGAGATCTGAGGATCACCGTTCAAAGCCAGCCCAGGCAGGAAAGACCGTGAGACTCATCTCCAATAAACCACCAGAAAACTGAAGGTGACACTGTGACTCAAGTGGTAGAGCGCTAGCCTTGAGCTGAAGAACTGAGGGACAGCGCCCAGGCCCAGAGTTCAAGCCCCACAACTGACAAAAAAAAAGAAAAATCTGATTATAATTAAAACACTGTTCATTTGGTCATTTGAGAAAGCCAGCAGTCATTCTTGATTTGCCTCCCTCCCTTACCCAAATCTTCACTTGTCTCCTGCACCTCCAGGATTCATTAGTACTTATTTTTGCACCTATACTCTTTAGTCCCAGCCATTCTCCTCTCTTGCCTAAAATAGTACAATAGCCTTTAACTCTTGGCTTCCATTGTTGGAAGAGGTTTGGAATTTTTTTTTAATATTCTGAGCATAAAAAACTTCATGAAAAATCCATGGAATCTCTGACTTCTTACAGTCCCTTCACAGGCTGTAGATACTACAGACTGCAAGTGGATCTTTTGAAAGGAGTGATGATGGAAACTATTAATTTTTTTAGTTATTAAAAGAGTCTAGCAACAAAGCTTTAACAAAACAAATGGATCACATGAAATGTTTTACGCTGGCCACTATGCCAGGCACTAAGGAGACAAAGGTAAACAGAACAGCATCTCTACCGTCAAAACAAGCTCATGTTCTAGTTTTGGAGACGTAGTACATAATACTGTTATGTTGGTTTGGAGTAAATAAAGAGTATCTAACCTAGTTGCTTATAGAAGGCTACCAAAAGAAGCCTGAGCTCAGTCTGAAAAGCTGAGACAATTTAGGGAGATTCATTTGGGAGATGGGAGGATTTGCTCTAGTTGAAGGAAATAGTATATAGATAAACAGATTTGGCAGAACATCTCAGGGGTGGGGAACTAATAGCCAACTTTTGAGACCAGAATATATGGTGTTTTTTAATTGAGGTCATGAGGATAACATAGACATCACAAAGGAAGCAGTGTGTCATTGAGCCACGCTTCAAAGGTAATACAGTGATACACTATGTATATATGTTATATTCTACTACCTCCAATGAGTGCCTCAAACCATAGCTACTATCAAATTCTCTCTATACTTTGTATTTTCCTTTATTTACAAACCTATATTGAAGTTTTAATTTATAAATTTGGTACCATAAGTTAGGTGCTGGTGGCTCACACATAATTCTAGCTACTGGAGAGGCTAGCAATGGGAGAATTGTGGTTCAAGGCCAGCCAGGGCAGAAAAATTCATACGACCTCTTCTCAATCCATAGCTAGGTGCAGTGGTGTATGCCTGTTATCCCAGTCTACATAGGAGGCTGTGATTGAGAGGATCATGGTGCCAGACCAGTCTGAGAAAGGCAAGTCCTCAAGACCCTGTGATGGAAGAGATGCTACAGTGCACAGCTGTGATTTCAGCAACAACTGGAAACCTAAAAGAAAATCTATGTGTGTTCCTGGGCAGGGAGCAAAGCCATAGATTATCTAGTTAAAAACAGGCACTCAGCAGTATGCTTTATACTTACAAACTGACACTTTGGTAACCCCTCTGTACAACTACTTTAAAACCATAAAAATAATAGTATTTTGGGGAGGCATTTTACAGCTCTTCTCTGGCCGATGAGAAGTGCCAGCATCTTACTCTGGAGCACTGTGAGTGCTACTACTGAGTAAAACAAAGATAACTGGAACACAGTTGCTGTGCCAGGGTGCCGAGCGGGTTATGAGTGACTAGAGGGCATGGAATGAGCACATCAGGAACAAGCTAGATGAAGGACTATTAATGTTCTGGGAGAACAGCATGAGGTGTCATCTCACTACTTTGATGTTCAGCTCAAGTTCCAGGACTGAGAAACAAGAGTTTCTCCTGTCATAGAGATTTCTTTTTTCTGTTCCTAGTACCCCTGCCAACTCCTGGCCCATCATTTGATGTACCTGTACTCCTCAGACCTGTGCTCACTTATTTTCTGTATACTTGAGACTTTCTAGTCTCCTTGTCATCACCCTTCCTTGTAACCTCAGCTTCTGTCTTAGCAACTAAGTAACATTTTGTGTGGGAAACATAGACCTCCTCACAGAGGAGCACCTGGTTGGTGTAAATGGGAGGGAGAGTTGTGTTCTTTCCTATGTTAGGGACCAGCTTAGGTGGTTGCTGCTCTGAACCAATCATCTGGGACCAGAATCTCTTCAGAAGGGAACAGAAACTTAATTTAACCAAGGTAGTAGATAGGGTAAAGTTCTGAGACTTGGTTTTCCAATACAGTAAGGGAAAGACAGAAGCAGAAGGCAATGTCAAAAGTAGATATCTAGAGACCTGTTAGACTTGAGAGATGGGAATTGGACAGGAAGGAAAAAGATAGCTATAGATCTCTGACATGGACAGTGCAAAGATGTTTATGATCAGGATGAGAGATTATAGGCAATGAGGAAGGTGGAGTGTGAGAGAGAGGAAAGATGTTCCATGAATCTTTGTCTAGAGTTCAAAGATACTTCGTCAGCACTTAGAGATATGGAAGTGGAACTAAGTAGATAGAATATATTTTGTTGC